GTCTTTTATATAGGTAACGAGCTGAGATTAGGAGCACACTCTTAAAGGGAGTGCTCCTAATCTCAGCTTGTTACCTATATAAAAGACAACTGTTCACAGAAGCAATCAATCAGATTCCAAACTCTCCACCATGGCCAAGACCAAAGAGCTCTCCAAGGATGTCAGGGACAAAATTGTAGACCTACACAAGGCTGGAATGGGCTACAAGACCATCGCCAAGCAGCTTGGTGACAAGGTGACAACAGTTGGTGCGATTATTCGCAAATGGAAGAAACACAAAAGAACTGTCAATCTCCCTCGGCCTGGGGCTCCATGCAAGATCTCACCTCATGGAGTTGCAATGATCATGAGAACGGTGAGGAATCAGCCCAGAACTACACGGGAGGATCTTGTCAATGATCTCAAGGCAGCTGGGACCAAAGTCACCAAGAAAACAGTTGGTAACACACTACGCCGTGAAGGACTGAAATCCTGTAGTGCCCGCAAGGTCCCCCTGCTCAAGAAAGCACATATACATGCCTGTCTGAAGTTTGCCAATGAACATCTGAATGATTCAGAGGACAACTCAGTGAAAGTGTTGTGGTCAGATGAGACCAAAATGGAGCTCTTTGGCATCAACTCAACTCGCCGTGTTTGGAGGATTAGGAATGCTGCCTATGACTCCAAGAACACCATCCCCACCGTCAAACATGGAGGTGGAAACATGCTTTGGGGGTGTTTTTCTGCTAAGGGGACATGACAACGTCACCGCATCAAAGGGACGATGGACGGGGCCATGTACCGTCAAATCTTGGGTGAGAAATTCCTTCCCTCAGCCAGGGCATTAAAAATGGGTCGTAGATTGGTATTCCAGCATGACAATGACCCAAAGCACACGGCCAAGGCAACAAAGGAGTGGCTCAAGAAGAAGCACATTAAGGTCCTGGAGTGGCCTAGCCAGTCTCCAGACCTTAATGCCATAGAAAATATGTGGAGGGAGCTAAAGGTTCGAGTTGCCAAACGTCAGCCTCAAAACCTTAATGACTTGGAGAAGATCTGCAAAGAGGAGTGGGCCAAAATCCCTCCTGAGATGTGTGCAAACCTGGTGGCCAACTACAAGAAACGTCTGACCTCTGTGATTGCCAACAAGGGTTTTGCCACCAAGTACTAAGTCATGTGTGATGCCGCCGCCACGAAGCCGTTCAGCAGGCGCCCCATCTACGACCTCGCCACCACCAAGCGACGTAGCCGACCCCGCGTCCCCCTCACCTCACCTCACATGAACACACCCGCACGCATTTTCCCTCCACCCATAGAGCTCCGAGGGGAGGTCACCTGACCGACCGGTTTTAATCCGAGAAACCCTTATCGGGATTAACTTTCACGGTTTCCGGCGACCAGGGAATTGGACGTCCTCCCCCGACGCTACTTTGCACCGCGGCGCTGCGACCAGCCTTAAGATGGTGTGGTCGCGGCGTGGGGCATTCGGCCACCGCGGTTGAAACGCATTCCCCCACGCACACCCCCACGGGTCGACGAGACAGGCAGAGGAGGGACGGGGCGGCATAATTCAGCGTGCCAAAGCGGGCTCGAGTGCGTAGGTGCCATTGTTAGGGAAGTTAAAGGATAGGGCTGGAATTGCAAATAATCAGAGAGGCGACTCGGGCGCATAGTGTGCAATTGATAGGGCAGGTGGTGGAGACATGCGGAGGCTCCGCGCTTAACTTCCACAGCAGGCCGTTGTGATGGATGCCGCTGCATAATGTGCATAACTACGACACCACACACACCCCACACACGCCAGGATCGACGGGGCAAGAATAGGAGCCTAGTCGGAGGAAACACCGCCGCATAATGTGCATAGCTACCACAACCACACACACTCCACACACATGGTAGGAGAGGGAGCGAAGGGTACGTGGGAAGGGGGGAGGGGCCTGAGTCCGGGAATTAGGATAAAAGGGAGCGTAGCAAGGTAGAGAGATCGCTCTCCACTTCGCTTCGAGAGGCCCGCGTTCAAGTCAGCTCCCAGCTCTGCCCTCCGGACGTCCGCGTGACGTGTCCAGACGAGCATCGAGGAAAAGCCACAGGACGCCGAATACTTCGAACCGTGAGTAGCAAGGTGAAAGGGTATCGTAAGCCAATAAATAGGGAATAGGTCCCGGGGTAGTAGAATAGGCCAGCCTCGTCGATTCATACCCACTCAACCACCAGTCCCAGGTAGTAAACAATAAATCATTAATAGCGAAGCTGTGGCCTCGTGTGATCTCGTTGAGCAGTGTGAACGCGTGTAATGCTGCGTATACAGCGGCTAGCCTCGTGGGAGCGCTGCGCAGAGCGGCGCGAGAGTGGGTGTCGCGTCTGTGCAGGTGTGTGCGCTCGTAGTGTGGGGGAAGGGGTCGATGCGTCCGCAGGTCCCCGCTCCGTCTATCGCCGCAGGGACTCGCGCAGTGTGAGGGCAGCGTCATTCGCCCTCCGACCCCTGACCCCCGTTTAATAGCGCGTGATGCGTGGAGAGACAACGCAGCATTTACAGGTGGAACGAGAGTGTGCGGCGAGCTATGCCTCTCACACGAGCTCGCGGAGGGACGGACCAGGGAGGGGAGCCGTCAGGCGATGAGCCCAGCGACGGCAGCAGCTGCTCGCAGAGCAGCGAGGGGTCGGCGAACAGCAGAGCCCCTGCCATAGGCACGGAGCAGGGAGGGACTTCGGGGACCAGCGGCCCCAACACATGTTTTGCAGAGGGGTCAAATACGTATTTCCCTCATTAAAATGCAAATCAATTTATAACATTTTTGACATGCGTTTTTATGGATTTTGTTGTTATTCTGTCTCTCACTGTTCAAATAAACCTACCATTAAAATTATAGACTGATCATTTCTTTGTCAGTGGGCAAACGTACAAAATCAGCAGGGGATCAAATACTTTTTTCCCTCATTGTATGTATGTTCAACTTATTTCGCACCGTACGTAGCCAACCACGCTCAACGGATATTCGGGGAAAGGACAACAAACTAAACACAAAAGGCAGTAAAAAAAATAGTTTTCAATCCAGATGATTTAAAAGTGCATACTATAGCTCCTGCAGCTTCCCAATATCGGAAGGAGGAGCGTTCCAGACGGCTGGAGAAGCGCATCTGAAAGTGCGCGACGCGGTGACCATCTTTGTTCGATGGCCCACACTAAAGTCACTTCTGCGCGGATGACCAAAGTTTGCGTGATGGTTTATAGCTGCTTGGCGAGATGAGCAAGGTATCGTGGCTCATTAGTGGAAAGCACTTTGTGTGTAATGAGTGCGACCTACTTTGTGGGGGCAGAAGTCGATGTGTGATATCCGCTTCCGTCCGAACGGATATTTTTGTTGTGACAAATCTGCGTTCAATGGGTGATGGAGTTTTCCGTAGGGGGCCGTCCATAAATGACATCACGCGATTTTGGCCGGTTTTTGACCCCCCCACCCCCCACCTCGTCACACGGCGTCACAAAAAGTCAGACCCCCCTCAAATATGACGTCACAAAGCTCTGCCCCCCTCCCCCAAAACCATATTTCCATTTTGAAAATAAAACATGCTTCAAATCACTTTAAACTATTGTCATTGTAGTGCGTATTTAATGTGGTGCTGCACTCTGATGTTGTAGGAGAAAATACGTATTAAAAAGGAGGCGTTGGAAAGTTGAAAATATTCAACGTCTAACTAAAACTGCAGATGTTCACAATATTATATTGAAATTCTCTTATAATTATAAAATATTAAAAGTAATTATAACTATAAAAAATACTTGAAACGTTGTAGTAAAACGAAGCAAAATGGAGAGTACAATTATAACAATCACATATTCATTCCACAGAATGAAAAGCCCTGGTCGAATCATTAAAATCAAAATGTTTAATAACAATCATTCAACAAATTTTAAAATGTATGCTTCTCCATTATCCCATAGAGAAGTAAAATGCTCCTTCATGGAATACATACAAGGTGACCTTAGTAAATTTAAATAATCAAATAGTTAATAATGGAAATTAATCTAAATAAGTTTTGTTATAACAATTATATTGTTTAAACTTATTTAAAGTTGCGCATTTTGATGTGACGCCACATTTCTCAAACCCCCCTCTCGTCACACATCGTCACAAATGTCTGACCCCCCTCCCCCCCCTTGTGTGTGACGTCATTTATGGACGCCCCCTAGTCAGGCGCCCTCGTTTGTGGAATGTCTTGACCCGGTTCGTTCGGGACGCTCCCGTCAGTCGAGTTTTTTAGGGCTCGTCTGAAAACACATTTACATATCTCTTGCGCATCCGTCTGTGTTAAGGGCTGTTTTCCTCTTCGTGAGGCCTCCTTTGCCAGTACCAAAATATACAGATGACGCCAAAAGGCGCACAAAGTGGCGTCATCTGGTCGAACACCGTATGAGACTAGGCTCTAAGAAAAGCTGTCTCTGGTGTGGACCAATCAGTTTCAAGGACAATACATTTGATTGCAAGAATTGTGGTTAATGTAAACATGATTCCAGTTTTGTTGCCAGAAAAAAGGGGGAAACCCCCTATTAGGCTGTTTTCCTCTTGGTTTTGATGTTAAGGCTGTTTTTTTACTGGGATTGTGTTGTAAAGTTATATGATGCCTTGTGTGAATGTCGCTATATACAACTCAGTTTGACTTCATAAGCTCAGTTGGAATGAAACTGGACGAAACGACTTCTTTTTTTAAATGATAAAGTCGAGAAGCGAATAGCCCTTAGTGGGAAGTCTAGTGTGGCCATGGGACGTCGGCTCCTGCTCAAGCGAGCATTCGAGCAGCACTTGCGTCTGTGAGTGGGGGTGCGGGAATGGGGCTTCTGAGCAAGTTGTGGAAATTCCACATTCCCATGGCAGGGACCAAACTATCCTTTGCATTACCACTGTGTCAGTCACGTGGGAACGGAGCACACGGAACAACAGTTGAGCAGACAAAGCCAAGACACGGAAAGTTTTAAATATTATAATTTATTATTATTCATGCCTCGCCATGCATATCTCGGATATAAGTTAGCTTATTTTGAAATGTTAACGCTTGTGTAAAAGTATTTTTTTAAAGGGAAAGTTCCATAGCACATCAAATTATATATCTTGAACGACATGTAACACATGGTAATATTTGAAATCGCATTGAACAAAGCCTTGACCATTTCTCTTTGCATTATGTATGACAAACAATAAAACGGCAATTTAAATTATAAATATACGTGTGGTAGTTGAATATAACGGGTATAAAACACCTCATTCGTATGACGTTAGTAACAGCCATTGAAAAAGAAATATTTTAAGTTCCAACATAGCTGGTACAACGAACTATATAATGCATTACAAGCATTAGGTAAACGGAGCATTACAATGCAAACGTGTAATGTGTACACATCCGGGTCGCCCGTGCAAAAACACTGGACTCGTGCACCGCTATAACGCGGAACCCGTACCGCTATAACGCGGACAGTTATAATGCGGAACGTGCACCCTTATAATGAAGAACGCGCACTGCTGTAACCCGAAACGTGCACCGCTATAACGCGGAGCGTGCACCGTTATAACGCGGTTTCTGAGCAGTCGACGACGAACTACTTTACTGAGCTGCGCCGCTGGGCGGAGTGATACGATAACCCAGCGGCGACGTACCTTCAGCTATTTGTGCCGCCATCTCACTGCGTGGTGTGCGCAGTAATCGTAGTAAATCTCATCTCGCCAATCCTCATCGTTGCATCATTTAGAGGGGGAATACGTCCTCGCGAAACGAGAACTTGCTGTCGAAACATATTCAGTTGTTGCGTGACATAGCCACTGAGAATCTGGCACTTGGGAAAGTGGCTGCTTGAATTGGCCGTGTCAGAGCACCGAGCCCTGGCCCGGGCCTTCATATCCCTAAAGTCCACCAGAGACTAAAATCCGTTTCCCAAACTTACCAAGGGTTTACATGCCGAGCCCAAGCCACTCACTACAGTAACTGCAAACGGAAGCACGGGAGCAAGTAACGCGGCACATGATTGAGCAAATAACGCAGCCAGCTCTTGAGTAAGTTCGTCTCAGGCGGGTAACAACAATAGAGCTGAAAAAGCGGAACCGTGCAATGTAATAAATTATAAATAATTATAATAAAAATGGTTATGATCGTCGAGGTTGTGGGAAGACAGGTTCCCCTCCAAGCAAGGGGGCTCGTGAAGCGTCCGTGGATGTCGCCTCGGCTGGGGTGCTTCGCCTGACCGCGCGTTGATCGCCACGGGGGCGATTGCCTTTGTCCAACGATCCCAATAGTGCAAATAAATAAATAAATAGCTATTCTGATCCTGATCTGGATAAATAAATTATTAATAATTTAATTCGTGCTCATGTAGCTGCAGATTTAATGGCTTTCATCGGAAAGTGGGATTTTGGGCTGGATGTATCACGACCAGAAGGGACGATGGATGATGATCGATGGACGATGACTGATGGAAGATGATCAATGGACGACGATGACCGATGGAAGATGATCGATGGAAGATGATCGATGGATGATGATGATCGATGGACGATGACCGATGGACGATGATCGATGGATGATGCTGATCGATGGACGATGACCGATGGACGATGATCGACGACCGTAACGGAGCGGCAGGCGAACGCTGCGAGAACGTGCCCGAGAGGACGCGTGCCAGCTTCGGTAGACCTTCATCCAGCAGTGGATAGATCACGACTGATGATGATGACGATGATGACAGAGCTGACGTGCGGTCCGGTACTGTTTATGGGCTGCCATGATTATAGCTGGTTACCTGCTGAGCAGCCTTGTTGTACACACTGAGACACACACACTGACACACTGAGACACACACACACTGACACACTGAGACACACACACACTGACACACTGAGACACACACTAACACACCGTAGACCAGCGCTGTCTGGTCCGGCCGGCGTCACGTAGCGAGCTGACGGACGAACGGAGAGACGGGTGGGTCGACACACGCCCAACACCCACCCCATGCCCACTCCGGCCCCTACTTGGCCACCGCGTACACGGCGCAGGTGCAGCCCACGGCGATCTCCTCCCAGCGCTCCTCGTAGCGCGCGTGGCCCGCCTCGCACGCGCCCCGCTCGCGGTACAGCACGCGCACGTGCGCCGTGACGGGCATGGACACGACGCTGTGCGTCTCGCGGCCCGAGTGCGGCTCCACGCAGCCGGCGCACAGGCAGGCCGCCTCGGGCAGCACCTCGGGCACGCGGTCCGCCTTGTCAACGTCGTCATTGTCCTCGTCGTCATCACCACGATCCATGGGGCAGGTAGCCCGTAGGTGTCCTCTGGGGCCGTCCATAAATGACGTCACGCGATTTTGGACGATTTTTGCCCCCCCCCCCTCCCCCGTCGTCACACGGCGTCATAAAAAGTCAGACCCCCCTCAAATATGACGTCACAAAGCTCTGCCCCCCCCCCAAAAAAAACATGCTTCAAATCACTTTAAACTATTGTAGTGCGTATTTAATGTGGCGCTGCACTCTGATGTTGTAGGTGAAAATACGTATTAAAAAGGAGGCGTTGGAAAGCTGAAACTATTCAACGTCTAACTAAAACTGCAGATGTTCAGAATATTATATTGAAATTCTCTTATAATGATAAAATATTGAAAGTAATTATAACTATAAAAAATATACTTGAAACGTTGTAGTAGAACGAAGCAAAATGTAGAGTACAATTATAATCACAAATTCATTCCACAGAATGAAAAGCCCTCGCATAATCATTAAAATAAAAATGTTTAATAACAATCATTCAAAAAAAATTAAAAATGTATGCTTCTCCATTCTCCCATGGAGAAGTAAAATGCTCCTTCATGGAATAAATTAAAGGTGACCTTAGTAAATTTAAATAATCAAATAGTTAATAATGAAAAAAATATAGTTTTGTTATAACAATTATATTGTTTATATTTATTTAATGTTGCGCATTTTGATGTGACGTTTGGGAAATCGTCGTTACTCGCCATCTTCTTGGTTCTTTCGGTAAAGTCACGTAGAAGGGAAATAATAAAATAATATAAAACAAAAAAAATTCTCACGACGTTTCGACTGCAACTCAAGCAATCATCGTCAGGTGTGAAATCCACAGCAAATTTTATTGCTGTGGATTTCGCACCTGATGATCATTGCTTGTGTTGCAGTCAAAACGTCGTGATAATTTTTAATGTTTTATATTTATATTATTTTATCATTTCCCTTCTACGTGACTTTACTGAAAGAACCAAGAATGTGAATCCCTGCAGTCACGAAAGCTTTAAATCAAAATTTAGCTCATAGTGTCGTTTGTCTGCGTATTTCCACACGCACCGATACGTCCAGGGTGAGATGGAGCGCTCCTGTAGGGGGCTGCCGGGGGGCAGAACCCCCCCGCGGCTGGGGCAGGGCGGCAGGGCGGCGTCCTGCTCGTGCTGCCGCCGCCGGCCCTGCAGAGCGCTCGCGAGCCGCAGCAGCTCCTCAGGGACGTTCATCCGCTTGAGGTGGAAGGCGTCGGGCGCGTCCTGGCGGCAGGGCTCCTCTACGTGGCCACGCGCCTCCGCCACCATCGAGGCCAGCGGCAGCAGCAGCGGCAGCAGCAGCGGCAGCAGCAGCAGCGGCAGCAGTCCCGTCGTGGACGCGCGCTGGTGCAGATGAATGTTTCGGTTACGCAAGGACAAAGATCTCCCCCACCCCACCCCGTGTAGCCGTGATGTGAGTATGTATGTTGGAACATTTGGCAGGATTCAAACTTCCCAGCATGTTCTACCACGAGCGTGTGTGGTCAATGTAGACTCGATGCTTCGTGTTCAAATGTGTCTGTTTGGTGTTCGAGCATCTTAACGCCTCCTGTATGTTGAACCTCGCACCCTACGTAGCCAACCGTTGTGCTAATCGGAGGTGCGGGGAAAGGACAATAAACTATGGGTATCTGTGTGAGTCTGTGGGTCTCTGTGTGAGTCTGTGGGTCTCTGTGTGAGTCTGTTAGTTTCTGTGTGAGTCTATGGGTCTCTGTGTGAGTCTGTGGGTATCTGTGTGAGTCTATGGGTCTCTGTGTGAGTCTATGGTTCTCTGTGGGAGTATATGGGTCTCTGTGTGAGTCTATGGTATGTATGTTGAACTTATTTCGCACCGTACGTAGCCAAACACGCGAATCGAAGGTGCGGGGGGCAGCACAACACACTAAACAAAAAAAGCAGTATCTTGCCTAAAGCCACGTTCGTTGACGTCGTGCAAGCCTGAAGTGAATTAAAAGTCATCTTCAACGTGTTGTCTTCTCATTATCGTCATCGTGGATCGGACAAATTTAGCCGAGACGCCGGTGTACGGCAGCCTCCGCGGAAACGCTGTCGCAAGGGGTCACGCTACGTTCGATGCAACGGTCACTTCGCTGATTACGCGCGTGACAAGTGGACGAATGCATCGTCAGCAGGCCGCTTAGGGCAAGTTGCCGTTAGCGGGCAGCTGCTAAGGCCGTGGAAGGTCGTGTGGCCGGACCCACGACCGGCAGGGATTTCTACCCCCAGCTCCGATGTCCACACACCGCACCGGAAACTTAATTAAGGGGTCGTCCATAAATGACGTCACGCGATTTTGGACGATTTTTGACCCCCCCCCCCCCCTTCGTCACACGGCGTCACAAATGTCTGACCCCCTATCCTCCCCTAGGTGCGTGACGTCATTTATGGACGGCTCCTAAGACCGAACCGACCTCGAGCATGCCCAGCACCGGCACCGATATTCGGCTTAACCGCGAGCAGGAATCGCATTGAGTTGGCTGGGATCGTAACGCCGCACGCTAGATGCAGAACGCTAACCGTTAACCGTTAACCGCTCCCCGCCGCGCTACTGCTGCCCACCCAACCTTCACGATGGTCGCACGCTCAGCCAAACGCCGTCCCGAGATGAGGGCTGCGAAAATCGGCAACCGGAGCATCTGCGCAACAGCCGCACCTCATGACACCACGGGACCCTGAGGCAGCGGTGAATTGGCCACGTTTGTTCGTCACGTGACAACTTAATGAATTGGCGGTGTCGGGTGGAGGAGGCTTGACGACACAATAACGTCACTGACGTCGTTTGACGCAACAACAACAACGAAACAATTACGTATCGTTACACCGGTCGCGAATGACAACCATGCGTTGAACGCAACCATTGCAAGAGCTCACCCCCAGGCCGTACACACACTGGCAGCCTCCTCCTCCTCTACGTTGCTCCCATCGCTAGTGTCAATTCGCAGTCACGATCTCGCACACGCCGCCGTGTGTCTGCGCTTTAGACGACGGATGCGTCGACTCGCTCGCTCGCTCACACGCAACACAGCCGCTGGCGTGAATACGCACGGCACTGAGCGAGAGATGCACGCAGAGACAACCCCCCCCCCCCCCAGCCTTAACAGACTGTTGGGGCACGTGCTGATAGTGAGCAGCACCTACGAAGGCCGGCACTGCACACGAGGGGGTGGGGGTCGGCACCACGCCCGACCGCCTTTGTCTCCCCGGTGGCGATGTTTGCACAAGACGCAGACAGCACAGACACACAAGAGGTGCGTGTGTGCCTCCTTACCATCGTTGGACTTCTGCAGATCATCGTAACTCCACGGGGTCAGGAGCTGTCGGATAGCTTCGAGAGAAGTTGCTCGGATGCGCTCTCTCTCTCTTCCTTTGGGTCGGTCGGTCGGTGCGAAGCGACGCCGGCGTTGTACCTCTGCCACCGGAGAGGCGACGGACTTTATACACTTCACGATGTGATGCAGGCGGCGGTGGAGGCGGTGGAGGAGGTGGTGGGAGGGCGGAGACCCTTCGCGCATTTGCGTTGCCATTTGCCTGGGGCAGAGTGCGGGTAAAATTCCAGCTGTGCGACGCGGAGACACCGGGGCGAGCAACAGTGAAGACAGAGAGAGAGGGGGGGAGTGAATGACGGGGGGGGGGAGGAGTTAAGAATGGGGCCCAACCATTGATTTATGTTTTTTAAACTCTCAAACTTGCTGTGTTCGCGCGGAATTTTACCGAGCCCAAGTTACGTCGAAAAGCCCAATTTGTCCGCTGGAAAACACTGCCGTTTTTCTTGGCACGGAGCAACGAATTGCGAAAATTTGAATAATGGAATTCGTCGAATCGACAGAGAGCGTCCGTGTGCACCCTACTGCTTGCATGGGTTACCCCCATACGTATGTTGTTGAACTTTTTTCGCACCGTACGTCGCCAACTGTGGTAATCGGAGGTGCGGGGGACAACAAATTGTTCTAAAGAGATGAGTTTGTCAATCCAGATGATGACGATTTAAGAGTGCACATCTCCCAGTGGCTTCATAATATCGGAAGGAAAGAGCGTTCCAGACGGCCGCTAGCGCGTGAACACACAGCCACTGCAGGATGTGCTTGGGCCACGTTACGGGAAGCGGGGGACAGTGCGTCGAATTCCATTACATATTGATCTGTATGTGCACGTGTACTTCACCATCCCGATCTAACCGGTGTGGTGAAGTATGGCCAAACAACCCCCCGACGACCCGCATGGCGTGGGAAGCCCCCCCCCCCCCCCCCGTGCCGGATTATCCTCGTAGCACAAGTAGCGACATGTGTAGTAGCTACATAAGTAGTAGCTACATGTGGAGTAGCTACATGTGTATTAGCTACGGGCCCCGCACTTTCAAGGGCCCCGCGCTAAATGCTTCCAAGCTATCAATTCCGGTTCAGTGATTCTGCACTTGCTCTATTACTATAGTACTATACCGCCTTCAACTTTTATGAACGACTGGGTGTTCAAGGTTAGCGATTTGTCGTATTATCTGGCTGTGTAGCAAATGAAAAAATAAAATGACTTTACTATGCAAGTAAAACATTTGTGTTTTAATATTTATGTTTTTTATTTAGGGCCCCTTTATAACTTTTGCGACAGGCTCCGCACCAGCTTCATCCGGCACTGCCCCTCCCCCCCATCCAGCAGTGGATTCACAAAACGGCTACGGCTGTACATGTCACTAAAAAAATGCGATTCCTAATCTCAATGCACTTATCCACCGTCTGTGTTTAAAGTCCTTTCAAGGCGCCATAGGTGATTACGATGCATGATCATGAGAAGATTAATTTTGTTTTGCCCCCTGTTCCGCAAATTGTTGTGTTGCAAAGTGTAACTCCGGAAGAATCGCGGGAGAGTGCATCGCCATCGTGATTGGCAACGGCCCGCGGAAGCAGGCATCGCAGAAGCACTTTTGAAATCCGTTCAAAGCACCCGGGGACGCTGCATCTTGCCCGCGAAAGAAAAACGAACGGCTCGTCAAGGCGAACACTTTAATCCTCAGAACGGGAATTGTGAACCGAATTTAAGTGAAAGAATGCGATGTGGTGAAATGACGTTCACACATATGCGTCCGTGATTTTAATCGTGGAATCAGTTTAAAAGAGGACAGATGGCAGCTATGGAGATGCCAAGAGACGACACCGAGGGGTTTGTCTGTGTGCGGTTCATGGTGAGCAGCTCACAACAATTGAGACGACTATTGAATCACGGATGGCAACCTGAATTTCAACCCAGGATTCTAGCGGTTGACAGCTCACCGCTCTGACCCATGAGTCATCCGATAACCTCTCAATGTCATATGTGTACGCATATGTTGTATGCGTGTACATGTATGTATACGTGGTGTATATGTTGTATGTATATGTGCTGTATATGCCACTTCACGTGGCCTCAAGGTGCACATAGCCTGGCACAAGCGTCGTGGTGACGTCACCGCCACATAGTGGCGAATGGCGGTTGTTGTATTAGTAGGTCGACTCAGCCTTACATGAGTACCTTGTGTGGTGTGTAAACATTGCCACTGGGGAGACAAAGGCGGTCGGGCGTGGTTCTGGCCACAACACCCCCTCGTGAGCCGCTCCGGCCTTCACAGGTGCTACCCGCTAACAACACTTGCCCCAAAAGTCTGCGAAGGCTATACGGGGCAACTTTGTATTTTTTACTTTTGATTGTGCCAGCGAGTGCCACTGGGCAACGAATTTGCAAGAACTCCGGACCGCGTGCAATGCACTGAAGATATATCCCATGCAAATGCGTGGGCAGTGCCACCCTCTACGCGTCTATGGGTATTTTCACTTTGTCGCTTAGATGAGATGAGTGCGGCTTTTACGACGATGAGGCTGGCCCCATAATGTAGGAATGTGGAATTTCCACGTCGATTTCAGCTATTGCCAGCCACTCACTGCCGCACAGGGTTGTTGTTGTTGTCTTTACCAAATGTTACTGTCTACTCAGGTGAACCTTTCACTTCTGCATTTAACCGTCAACTCACTTCCCCTATCATATTGTTTACCCAAAACGAGTGATGGCGATTCCACATTCCCATGACCTGGTCCAGTCTGCCCACAAGACAACCACTGTGGGCGCCACAGTGGCGAGATGTTAACTGCCTCGCCTGGTATACAGGAGGTCATGGGTTCGATCCCGACCATGACGCCTGTGTTCATGGAGTTTGCGTGTCTCTCTCCCCGTGGTCGCGTGACATTTTCCCGGGATCCTCCGGTTTTTTCCTCCGCATTTAGAATCAACATCACGCGTTTCGAGTATTTGACTGCTGCTATGCATTTCCAAACGACGATGAGCCACTTGCGTTGGGCTATCATTCGTGATAGCCAGGTCGCTTCTGAAAATGAGCGACGTAGCTCAGTGGGCCCTTACCTGCTAAAATACAAAGTTTAGTTTCGACTCCCCAAAAGGGTTGCACCCATTGTATCGACCGTGTAGGGATGATGAGCTGAGTCGACCCTCAAACAAATTTGAAATGCTTAATCTGATTGTGCGTCATCGCCACTCTGACCACAGAACCCCTTTGCCGAGATACAACTCAATAAAAATAATAAAACTAACGAAATACCATCCTCACTGATACGTTGGCAACCGTAATGCCTTTCTTTTCAATAACGATATATGTATTCAGCCCTTAGTCGATCCCCTGCTGGATGAAAGTCACCCCACTCTGTGTCAATCACAGGGGGAGGGGGTTGTTTAACCATACTTCACCACGCTGGTGAGTGCGGATTTGTGAAAGCGAGGGGCGCAGGACCGGTTCCGATCAAACTCAGGTCGCTGGGCTCATACAACGTTGTTGTGAGTGTTTGTTTACAAACGTCCCCCAACAGTCTGTTACAAGGCGATATAGGGTATCTTGGTCTTTGTATTAACTGCATAACAGCGGGGAACGGTAGTGGAGCAGTAATGATGAACCCGGCGACGCGAGTTTGATTCCCGCTCACGGCCAACACTCGTAACGATGATCTGAACCGGTCCTGGGCCTTCCCTAGGTCGACTCAGCCTCAAATGAGTACCTGCTGCGGTGTGGAAAACATATTACCACTGGCAAGACAAAGGCGGCCGGGCGTGGTGCTGGCCACCAACCCCTTTGTGTGCCGTGCCGGCCTTCATCGGTGCTAGTCGCTAACAGCATTTGCCCCGACAGTCTGCTAAGGCTGCACGGGGGCGATCTTCGTCGTTGTGATGCCGCAACAACAACAAACCTTGCGGTGTTTATTATCTTCGTGACAATCGTCAATTTAGATGTCAGACAACCATGGGATCAGAAAAGGGATTTTCCATAATTGACCGCATCCATACAATCTTTTACATTTTCCCAACAATATATGCATACGCAATCTACATTTCTCTCCGTTAAGATATTTCAGCGCATGGCTTTGCTAAAAAGACAGGGGAAGTGACGTGGTCGAGGATTTCCCCTTGGACTGGGGCGAGCTGGTGATACAATCTGGAAGCGGTGACATCTCGCCGCCTTTAATTACAACGGAAACTCTTACCCACCCCTCCAGGTGTCATTCCACCCGTCACTGTCCTGTGTTCAAGTCATCCCCACCCTTTCCCTAAGGAACCCGGCTCACAGCGAGTCACCACCCCGACGATAGCGGCCGCCGTGACGTGGGGCGCGCGGACGATCGAAGCACCGCGCAGGGCGCAAGGCGGGGGGGGGGTGGCGACTCCCCCCGGGGTGGCGATCACGCGAACTGCCGTGTAAAAAAAAACTCCCGATGGAAACAACACAGCGGTCGCCTCGCCTCGCACACGTGGTTGGGACCTTGCGAAATGAGCTTCCGTTTCATGTGGAGTCTCTCCTTTCCACGCCCCCGCCGTCCCGTGCCCCCAAATACATGGAGTTTGCATGTCTCTCTCTCTATAGACTCCGTGATTACGTGATTTTTTTTTATCTCCGGGTGCTCCGGGTTTTCCCCTCCACATTTAGAATCAAGGTGCATTGAGATTATTTGATTGTTTTGCTGCTATACATTTTCCAGGTGATAAGCCATTTTTGTTGAGCTATCATTTGTGGCCAGGTCGCTTCTGAAAAATAAGTTAATGCCTGAGTGGTATTTGCCTGGTTAGATAAAACATTGTTTATTTTTACTTGTATATTTTTACGTGATTGTGTTTGCCTTTCCTATACTTTTTACCTCTGTCGTGTTTTTGTACTGTTTGTTGTTGTAACCCTCTGACCCGTCCCGACCGGACATCTGTTAAAAAGAACTTCATAGCTCATCGGATTCCTCCGGTAGAAAATAATATTCTGATTCTAATCTTGAGATTTGCTGTTTTGTATCGCGACCTACGTAACAATGCGTGTGTCCTGTGTATGTATGCTAAACTTCTTTGGCACCGTACGTAGCCCGCCGTGCTAATTG